TTCCTGCCATATTGTACCTACATACAATTTTGATTGTTATGTTATGGTTAGTTACTTTGGGCATCTCTCATTATATATTGTTTTTAATTTTACGTACTTTTTGTATGAATACAAAATTTGTAAATCTGTCTTCTCTTTGTTTTACCTATTTTGTATGAATTATAACGAAATTGTTGGACTATTTCTTATTACGTACATAATCATATAATTATCGCAATAATATATACACAACGTATTTTTGATAAGTAAACAAAAGGGACGATATAATATATACATATCTACATAATGACTGTATTGATTTAAATATTCAATACAATGCCATTATCTTACCAACTTTTGCTTTTTTTATTTATTTACGATGGTACTATGGATATGATATCTTAATAATTCTTTAACGCCCACTGCTGGGCACGTGTTTCCACCGATTTTTTTTTAAGCGCTAATTATAGTTTACTATTTTCACGCTGATCTTATATAAAGTTTTAATTTCGAGTTACTTTGCCGATCACTAATCCATTTAACTTTTCTCTCCCTTGCAAAATTCAAAATACAAATGTTTTGTTTTTTTTTATTTTGTATACAATAAACAAATAGGGATACATTCACATTTAAAAATATTATATGGATGTAGTATATATTAACATTAATATTTATTGAGTTGTACTCCCCGAATATTAAATATTTAGAGTAAAATTTTGATATGGCGTTACGACACATTTCAAAGCTTTCGTCATGCATTAAAGATAGCAAATATTGCTTTTGTACTGGGTATTAGTGAGGGATAAAAACATTGAAGATGGACTCGGATTAGTTGACTAATTCACTAGGAATGTACGATAATAATTATAACACGATGATTTCTAGGGAGGCTCGCATGGAGGTCGACCTGATAAGAAATGTTGCTAGTTATGTGGCTACTAATCAGCTTATATCCTTTATTAGTAATCCCTTCTTCTGGTAAAAGTAACGTCTTATAATATCTAAATAATGTAACAGAAACCATTTTGTTTGCATTACAGGTAAAATGGATGATGTACTGGATAGTTTTCGCCCTGTTCACATGCACAGAGACCTTCACGGACGTGTTCCTGTCATGGTTCCCGTTCTATTACGAAGTGAAGATTGTGCTGGTCCTATGGTTGTTATCGCCGGCAACCAAGGGCTCCTCCATACTATACAGAAAGTTTGTCCACCCAGCATTATGCAGAAGGGAACAGGTTAGTTAAATTATCATTAATAATTCGTTGTAATCCTCGCGCCAAAAGTAGGAAAAGTAAGGTAATAGACTACTTTTAGATGACATATCAAGATGAAACGAACAAGCTTTTAAGTTAGGTCTTTGAATTACAATTTAAATAAAACCGCATCCAATTTGGTGCAGTAGTTTTTGCGTGATACCGGAATAAACATACAGCCAAAGTTTCTAAAATTTATTGTTTTAGTTTATATTTACCCCTATTAAGAACCCTTAATTTTTCTAAAATATCTCCCATGTACAGATATCATTTACAATTAACAATTTTATTATATTGGTAAAATATTAATTCATAAAATGAATGGTTCAAGTTCACAAAATGCTTATGACTACGTCATCTGGACTTATAAGTATAATATTACTATGTATCTATAGATATTACTTGTAAATGTATTTTTCAGACTTATTAATAATAAGAGAATATTGTTACGTAATGTTATGTATTCTAAATGTAGGCGATTAAAAAAAGATAATAAGAGTGTTTCACAATAAAACAGCCACTTCAATGGCAAATAAAACATAGTAACCGAACTCGAAAATAAACCCTATCTATTGATAGGATTTATATATTTTTTACCCTTGTAATTCCGGCACAGAATGGGCCACTCTTTCCCGTGGGTGTCGTAAGAGGCGACTAAGGGAACTTAATGGTCGAGGGATGGGCAGCAGCGTTAAAACATCACTAAAGGCTAATTGCGGTTGCCAAGCGTGGCAACTATTGGCTAATCCTCCCTTATAGGAGAGCCTTATGTTCAGTGGTCAGTTAACGGCTGATATGGCATGGTACATGGTATATATTTTTAGCAAGAAGAATCATATTTGGTACAGAATTGGCAAAGATATAGCATAACATTCATAAAGACTATTGAATTGAGAAACTCCGCCTTATTGAAGTCTTTTAAGAATTATAAGCTGATGTCATAAAAAATATTATCGTTGCCTATAGACATAGACATGACAGAATATTAAGAGTATAAAAATCTGTTAGTATAACCATAAAACTTAAACGACAACTCGAAGAGTATGGATAGGATTGATCTATCATAAATCGATCAAACGAACAGAATAAGAAAAATGGCTCTTTACTTTTTTTTTACAGGAAATAGATGAGTACATAGCGAAGGCCAAAGACCAGGGTTACCACACAGTGCTAAACTTGGGCACGAAAGGCGTCAACTACGCCACTACGGTCATAATGCAGACTGCCATAAAGGTTAGTGTACAACCTTATATAGCCAAGTGATAATGGCATGCTTCATCCGAAATTACACATAAAATTTCAAACAAGATCTGTTCTTTAAATAGTAATAATACAATATTTGTATAGAAACTATTGAAATAAAAACTTTAAACTATTTATTCTTAAATGGATTAGGAAAACATAAAAATGCAAATGTGAAGTAAAAATTTTAGATTATCATCTCAATTTATTCTGAGTTCAACGAATTTTAAATAGTTGAATGGTACTCGTAATAGTAATAAATTGCTACTTACTTGATCAAATTGATTTCAGTAAACTTCAGTGAATCCATTCGTTAATATTGTAATATCAAAATGAACTCATAGAATCATTCATGCAGCTGTTATTATATAATAAGTAGTTGTGTTTAAAATTTTTATATCATTTTACAATGGATTTGTAATAATAGTGTAAAGCATTTAAATCATACTAAATATCATGTTATTATTAAAAATAGAACAGTTCTTATTTGAATATTAAATTAAGCGAGGGTATTGGTCTTTAATATTTAACAAAAAAATTAATAAATTCACTGTTTATTAAATTCTAATCACGTACCAGTTTGTACATGCTTTATAACGATTCGTAATAAAATAATTAAAACCTAAATATGAATCGTTTGTGTTTGTATGGCAGAGATTAGTATGAGAGTTTAACGATAGTTTAGAAAGATGAAGGAGGTGATATATTAAATATTTGCCAAAGTATAACTTTGTATTGGTATAAGTAATATACACATACCATCTCAAAGTTGTACTTTTAATTAGTCTTTAAATTTGATTCAGTATTGATTGCACTAATAAGAGAATAGAAGTAAGGTATTTATATTAGTCAAAAATAATTTAAATAATATGACAAGGTACAAGTATTCTGAATAATATTATATCGTTGATATAAAAAGATTCCATCAAGAAGTCACAACACAAACTGTAAATTATATAACATAATATTTGTCTGAAAGAGAGGTCTGATTGAATTTGTAAAACTGAGAGTTGAACAAGACACCTATATATTTCCCGACAGGTTAAAAATAAATGTATCATATTTTCTTTACATACTTGTGTTTTATTTTGCTTTGACTTATGGAAGATGGCAGTGAAATTACAGAGTACACAGTATCTCCTGTGAAGACCATGGTGCTGTTCTTGTTTTTAGTTGACGGTTACCACTTTATTACATAAAAAAGTCTTTGTATGAATGTAGAGGAATGGATGAAATTATATCTCGGATTTATTGATCTAAAAAAATTAAATGTATGTTATAGTTGTTATTTTTTTTTTTTAAATCTACGATTACTACAGTCTAATCACAAACTGCATCAATATTTGTTAATTTTGTGTTGTTTTTACCACTTGAGTTATTGTCACTACAAGCAAAAAATTCAGGCAAGTGTGGCATGCTTGATCACAGAACATGTTATGTAAATAACACGTGCGTCAAACTGTTTGCAAATACTCGCTTACACGCGTGCTAATTTATACACAGCTGTACGATTTTTTCTCATTCAATTCTGTAAGAGTCGGTTACGTAGTTCATTTCCAAGACTTGCCATTTATTTATGTCCAATACTCAAATATATTTTATTTTTTAGCATAAGATTACGGTTTTTTTTATTATTATTATTAATTGTGTTTATTTTTTTAAACAATAGTATTTTGGTAGGTAAAAGGTCTAAATAACTCAGTTGCGCCGTCAGCTTCTCTATCTTTCTTTATGATACGATAAATAAAATTATCTAATACCATACATTAACAACAATTTATTATTGTTCAATTTGATCATCTTTCATCGATTGAACTGTTAAGCGACTCTTAAAGCTAAAAGCACTTTGTACAAGCAAACAACTCATCTTAACTGTTACTGTCTGTCATCAGGCATGACCACATTCGCAGCGCTACATTTTTTTTATATGCGCACATATACATAGTTTTACACAGCCGCTAATTTGTTTTTCTTTTTAATTTTATTAACACGCTTTTTTAATTTCTCCCCTTCCAACCCATCTCTTCCAAATGTCCTTTCCATCGCTGCTTCACGCAGAACTTCAATTTGCCGTCACCCGAGCAAGATCGAGATGCTAGGAAAGCGATAACTGGCCGGGACGTGCCTGATGGTTACCATGGTTACCAAGACACTTACGAGGACTTAGAGTTCCAGCGTTCCGAGGACAATTTGCCAGGCGTCGTAGAAATAGTAGAACTGGATAACGACGGGCCTGTCCCAGATCTCCTGTGCGGCGATGGTGATGCGAATGATCCTGACTATGAACCCAGCTCGGCCCGCAGTCGCGGCAATGTTGTGCGAAAACGTAAAGTCGCTAAAGAGAAAAGGCCTCGAAGCAAATCTAGAGGTCGCAGAACCAGGAGTCAGGCTGCCATGGAAAACAATGAATTGATGGTCGACTGACTGCTCGTTAACAATACACTAAATGAACTGTGATTCTTAGCTGATTTTAGGCAATTACGATAGGATATAATCCATTTTAATGTAGTATCTAAAGGTTCTAGTGTAGGTACCGTTAAATATCGTAAATTTAGAATGATTAATTACCGACTTTATTGTACTTTTACACAGATTTCCTTTTTAAATACCAAACTGTTTTGTGCCAAAGTATTCGTCTAAAAACCTAAAAAGTTTTCTTAATTGTTGAAAACCCTATACAAAAGTCACTAAGCGATGTATTTATAAGTACATTAGGTTATCCGAAAATTTCCCACTTTCAATACTTATTTTTAATTTGCCTGTAAATTTTTTTTCATTGTTCCTATACATACCTATCATAATCTCAATACGAATACGAAAAATGTATATTTTTTTAAAGCATGACGTATTTAATCTATGTTTTAATAAGTGCACTACATATAATATGTGCATGAAAATGTTGTGAAAGCGCTGGTAGCGCGTCATTGTAAAATTTTAAACTAAGTTTAGACTATTAACATCCGAACTCGCATTATGCCATGCCACATCTATATATATCTATCTATATGCAGTTCTTATTGTCAAATTCTATAACGTCTTATTTTCTGTGTTCTTTTGTGTGGTCCATTATTAAGTAAACGAGGTCTGACACACGTCTTATGATTTTCATATATGAAAGAAGTAGAAAGATCTTTCTGTTTCCTTCTTGGATTTTTCAAGTCGATAGTGAATAGCCATCTGCTAGGTATGCGTGATTCGTCTTCCTAGAAGTGGGATCAAGCGGGAACTCATAGAGTAATAAAAAAAAAAACATTTTGTGGCATCGGATGTTAATAGTATGTATTTAGTTTCTAAACATGTGTGACTGACTTAGCATATTCTTTTGATAATACAATGTAAAATTTTTATTTGTACTTTTTATTTCATTAATATTGATTTTAAATTAAATATGAAAGCTTAAGAGAAAACGCTTAGGCTAAATTTTATACCTTAATGATTGCATGCGCTTTGCCTCACGAAGCTTCTGTAACAGACGCAGTTACACCAGAGGTGTAACCAATCACGTTGTAAGTATATTTTTAATTTTTTTTTATACTTAGTACGTTAACGGATAATATTGTAGATAACACAATTTAATGGAATGTGTAAGCTTGTCTTAACGAACTTCCACATTTACTCAATCACACTTAAACAACTAAAAGGATTTGAATGAAATTTTGCATAGATTGAATATTTCCTAGTTTAGAGAATTTTTTTATCATAAATCACGCGAGTAAAAGCTTGGGTCACAATTATTAAGTGTACTGAAAATATTATTGTTTTATATAAATATGTAATTTTTTTTTCATATATATAATATAAATTTCCATACATATCCAGAGGAATTACCTATTTAAGTATTGCTTTTTCAAATTTTAACATTTATGCATAATAATTAAAGGTTATAAATTGTTCAGGGAGGTGGAGGTCTAGTACAGCAGCTAAGGAAGAGCTACAGCCTATCAGATTTGACTGAGTGTGAGCCGCGCGAGGAGCGGGGCGCCGATGAGGCTGATGACGTAATGACTGAGCCGCGGCTTATAAAGCGAAGCGCTAAAAGGTAAACACGTAGTTTTTAGTTGCCTAGTGCATTGACACTGGGGTAAGGGATTGTCATTAATGTAGCCAGTCCCATTGCTAGCAATATATCCTGTTGGGTCGACCTCCACGTGCCACCACCAACTAAATTTCAGGTATATTCCTCACGATAGGCTAACTGACGTGCTTTTCATTCTCGCCTATTATCCCTCACTGGTGCCCCACCAGCGTATACCATTAGCGCAGGCGGGGTTACGATTCCATTATCATCTATTAAAAAAAAAAATGCATTGACAACAGATGGTGATGCCCTTACACAAGTAGTAATAGTGGTAGAATGCAATGCACAGTACAAGATGTGTTTCGTTTACTACTCGTACTAAAGGGCGCAGTGTCATACTTGTTTATTATATTATTTAAATAAATAAATAAATATTAAGCACCATTGTACGCAAGCATAGAATGTTAGTTTTAATGTATGTAATGTGTATAAAATTTGTAATCTTGATGACAAAAATGTATTTGAAAAATTTTAAATCAAAATATTGCCAAGTTTTTAGTAGTAGATTTGTATGCTAATGTAACTTAGTCTATGAGGTTTTTATTAAGGTTTTGTTCACTAGCAGAGCGCTTAGTAAATATTCAAAACATTGAAAAATGTTGAACTGTTTTTTTTAAATTAACAGAAAAATGCGACGTTGCCACACTGTAGTAAACTAAAGTTATGAACGTTCTTAAGTTGTGCTGAATTAGGCAACACACTCGGCGAATATGTCTGCGTTGGCTGCTTATTTTGATAGGCATTCATACGTCCGAAGATCAGTAACCAAAACCACGTTGAATATAGCACTATTCTTAGCGTAATGATATTGTAATTCAATATATATTAATATTAATGCTAATTTTTTCAGCGGGTTCACTACCCGGCGCAGCGCGTCCGAATCGAATAGCCGCTCGCCAATGTATTTCCCTGAAGTAGACGTGGATGTGAGAAGCACTCGCTCCAGTAGGAGTGACGAGCCTGATTTTAGGTTAGTAGCACAAGGTGTAGACTGTTAAACGGGTAACTATGAAAATAGAAAAGTAGATTTTAGAACATGGGAAAGAAACAAAATACAAAATTTTCCATCAACATTATTTGTATATTATTGTATAAAAAAAAAAAAAAAACAAAAAAATTAATAAATAAATAAATGGCGGGCCAGTACTGTACGATTCACGCGTCACTTTCTGTCGCGTATTATAAAAATATGGAACAAATTACCAACAGCGGCATTTCCTAATAAATACGACATTCAATAGAAGAATTTATGCCTATTTAAAAGGTCGGCAACGCATTGCCGAATTCCATAGTGTTGTTAGTGTTCATGGGCTGACATGATTACTTACCATCAGGTAACCGCGTGCTCGTTTATCGCCCTTCCCAAAAAAAAACACCCAATAAAATATTTGAGTTCCAACTTTCATATGAACGCAGCCTAACTTATACGGGTTAGGGTGTGTTCACATAAAAACACGACAAATTTTTGAAATATATTTCTATTTTTTTTATGTATGTCACTTGTTACAGTCACATAAAATCATCGGAGGATATAAGCTCCGGGTATTCGAGCGCGGACAATTCGGGCGCGTTGTCTCGCGCGGGCTCGCTGAGTGGTCGCGGCCGTCGACCTGCCGTCCGCACAACCACCATTAAGCGTCCACAAGCCGCCGAGGTCTGGTAACTCCGATACCGATAATTATCTACCGTGATTACAATATTTCAGGACCATCCCGAGTTGTCATTGATATACAAAAACCCAAGATGACATGCCTATATAAAATTTGCAATTAAAATTTAAAAATTGTTTTCGTCAGAGACTATTCATGAACGAAGTTCAATATGTTTTTATATAAAAATGTAATAAATGCATAAATATAAACAATTATTTATGCACCTTTCAAATATAGAATTCCCCATCTGTCTATATACAATGTACGCTTATATGGACGTTATATTTTATCACTACATAATTTGGATGTTTGAGCTTTATTTTCAGTTACATTTCTTAGTTTCTGGTTATACCTCTTGTTTCTTGTATATCAATGAATCTAATGAGAATTATGATTCTCAATTGTTCTTGCGGACTTTCAGAAACTTGCATTTTAGGCAGTACACCATTGGCTCTTTTTACACTTTGATGCTTCATTTATAGTAAATTTATATACCTAAAATAAAATTTATGCTACCCATTATTCAGATGAGATTTTGTCGAACTTGAAATTGATACAAAATGTGTCACAAATATTATGTAATTAGTTGCTATTTATAATTAAATGTATGTTAAATACTCCGTGCAATTTGGGATAGAATACAGGTCGCCTGTAAGTATCGTAATTGAGAAGCGACGTAAAGAGATAGGCTGTATTTTTTTGGAATCCTTTGACGATAAACATATCCATGCGAGATTTTGTAATTAGAATTCGCATTTATTTATAATTTTTTCTCGGGATGGTAAAAATTTTGATTAGATTATTGCATTTATACAATTTCTTCAAATAGTATTAAACTTGTTAAAGTTTGATGGAAGTAATTTTTATATCAATTATTGCTATCACTAATACACAAAATTACTTAGTTTGAACGAGTGTTTCAGCTGGTATTCCGATATGTTAATGATATAGTACTATTTATAGTAAGCTGCTAAATACGTAATATACAAGTTGTTTTTAATGGAAACCCAGTTCATGTGAATTGTATTATTAATATGCTGTATTACACGAAACTATGGAAATATGTGAGATTGTAATAAATAATAAGTTAATTTTTAATATCTATACTCAAATTTTAATATAAATCTATAATAAGTCAATTATAATTTACTTTTTTACTACAGTGATTTCCAAATCCTTTGTAAATATCATAGTGACTTACTAATATATTAAAGGACTCTATTATATATTAATAAAATATATATTGTAACTTGAATCCGATGTATAACCATAAAAAAGCAACTTGTATAATATCAGAGATGAATTGTCATGATTGAATAGGTTTGTATCTTGCAGATTTATTCTTATTTTTATTAACTGTTTGAAATTATTAATATCGGTATATAATATTAAACAGTTAAAATCTGCAAGATGGACAATACATTAGCAATGGAAATGAATTGATTGTCAGGGTAGGATTGGTGCTGGTATCGGTCATTAGAGCTTTAAAGATGTATCAAATGAAATTGGCTAATTTAATTAATAATTATAATATATAAATAATCAATTAACGGACAAATTAATTTATATATGTATTTATGCTCAAAAATATGAAATGACATATTTTATGATAAAGCTTGTTGCTTACAAGTGGTCGTACTATATGCACTGAGTGTTTTGTATTTAAAATAAAAAAGTATTATGCTGACTATAAAGATAAATATAATAAATATCGGTATTTTAGATAGAAAACAAATTGTAGCGTGTCTTGTTATTGAATAAAAAGAACTAGAAATCTTATCAAACTATAAATTATGACTTTGTTAGTCGTTTAAAATTTTAATGCATGTTGTGAACGAAGTAATATTTAGGTACTCGTTTTCTTTTTTTACCTTTTCCAATTATTTATAAGTCTGTTCTTGCATTTATTAGTGTACAGTATATACTTTCAATTTCGTTATTTTTGATTTAGACTTAAGACCTTTTTATTTAAAGGAAAGTGAAGTAATCATCGAGGAGCCACACGACGACGATACTTTTGAATATGCGAATATGCCCCCTCTCTTTAATATCCCATCCCCTCTTTACTTATCTCATTCCGATCCACCATTTTTATATCAATATATTGGAGATCAAATTAAAATAGTGCAAGTATTGGGTAATCTACCTCTAAGTACAAATCCTAACAATCAAACAAACAATTCTGATCAGCAAAATCAAACAGTAAACTTAAGTCATGATATTTTATCAAATAATAACCTACAAAAAGAAAACGAAAATATTGCTGACATTATTTCCGAATTGTCTAACGACAACGATAGCGTGACAGTTACAGAGGTTCCAGTCGAAAAAGATCTTAAAGACTTAAATAAAACTTCAGGGTCCTCTGAATATATTCATCCGCTAAAAAACGAAACTTTAGAGCTTTCGGGACCAAAGTCTATTGAGAAAGTAGATGACTCTAAACCAGATATACCATCCGCATCAGTTGCTTTTGATGCTTCTCATAATGATGACTCAGCTGAGAGTGACGATGAAGCGTCATTTGGAACACCAGAAAATTCTCCCAAAAGTAAAAGGAAATCCCCAAGGGGAAAATATGGCAAAGCGAAAGCTCCACCACCACCCAACGTAAATATAGCAGATGACGATAAAGAACTATCAGATAAAATGTTAGAATGCGCTATTAGTACAACTTCACAAGAAAGTTTAACTGACATTGTAAATAAACTTCCTACTAACGCTTTTAAAGAAAATACGACAACCCAAGGGTTGCAAGTCGTTAATCCCATAGCAGAAAAGAAGAGACGTCATAAGTCAAAATCTCCTTGTAGAATTCCTAAAAGCCATAGTTCGGGAATAGGAAAATTACTGCAATTGCCAGGAAAGTTGGCTTTTTGGCAAAAAACTGATGATAAGGCTAAATCTGACACAATGTCGGTCTCATCAGGTGATCAGAGTAGGAGATCATCAGAAAACATTGAGCAACTAATAGACGAGTTTCAAAGTTGCTCTGAACTTGACAAACTTGCAAATATAGCTGATGACTCTGATACACTTTTAAAGGGAAATAGTAGCGACGCTTTTAATATTAAAGATGTAGCAGATTTTGAAAATGAAACAATAACTCAAGATATTATAGACAAAAGTGACGCATTGCAAAAACTTATCAATGCAAAAATAGAGAGTCATCCCGAATATAAGTTTGTTTCTTTACACGATGAAATACCAACCACATCAAAAAGCACTGATGTTTGAGGCTTTCCCAAAGTCCTGAATGCATATTTCGTACAAGCAGGAGTTAATAAAACAGTATGTAACATTAATTGTATGCGTGCATTCGTGCATGCCATTAATATACATGTCACATTGGAATCCGTTCGCATATTCAAGGAAAATTACTAATAGTTTCCTTTAATACCTGTTTGATCTTTAAAACATAGTTTTGCCATTAACAATACAGTGTATTTACCTAGTAACACGAGTAAATGCGCTTTGTTTTATCAGTATGATGTTTACTACCCGTTAGTGTATTATATTTATTTGTATTTGTGTGTATTGTATCTCTATGTATTTTTTTTTATAATACTAATACTAAATAGTGTTTTTTTTTTGTATACCCTATTACACTGACATAACTACGTTAGTTAGATTTGACCACTAACGTAGATAATGGTGACACATAATTGTGAAAGATCCTAATTGACTACTATAAAAAAGTACCATCGAATTGGAAACCTCTTTCATTTTTTGAAGTCGCTTGATAATATTTAATATAAAAGTGTAATAACAGAAACATTTCTTACAATAAAATTAAAGCCATTTAATTACGTGTCACCATATACTACAGAAAAGCTTGTGCTTCTTTTCAATTAGTTTTCAATTTATTTGTTTTATTTTCAGGCAATGCTGTCGGCCTCTGCTACAATACCTCGCGCAAAAAAATCTAATAAAAGGAAAACACAATAAACATATATATATAGTTCCCAAATATGCTTCCTATTTCATATATTAATTCTGCTGTTTGATAGATACTCATTAATACTCTATAAAAGACGAAGTATAAAATATTTCTTTTATTACTTTTAAAAGAGACGATTACCCTCAACATGAACACTGTCAAATTCAAACGAAATTCAATATTTCTGAGTGATTAGTAAAAAGATAGTTAATCATATAATAAGATTAAAAGTTTGTAATTTTGTAGTAAAAAATTACCAGCGACCTGCCCAAACTTCAAACGGGTAGATAGATAAAAAAATAAATTGGATAAATACAACCCATAGTATGTTCTTCGCTGATAATATAGCTTTCTACAGGTAAAAGAATTTTTAAAGTCAGTTAAGTGTTTTATGATTTTATCCATTATAAACCAATAATCAAATTTTCATCTTTATAATACTACTTTAAATTTGAGAGTAATACATTTGACTTGGATATGTCTATCTTGTTTTATGATTAATATTTACTACCTTTTTATACGACTGCAGAGAAAAAAAAAAAATATTCAAGCGCGTCAACTTATTTGAAATTATCACTCCGTAAGAAATAGTATATTTTCTTTGGAATTTGATAGGTAGCAAGTTGTCGCAACTTTTAGGAAAAATGCTCTCCTACTAACCAAAAATTGTTATGTGATTTAAGAATTTGAGATGCGTCCACATTTCATTTGGAAAAATTCCATAATTGTTGAATAGGTAACTGGCGTAACACAAAAAGCTTTTTTTATGATATAAATCTATGTCAACACTGACCGAAATATTAGCTATTAATTGTTATGGAGTAAAAAAATATTTTTAATAACAAATCGCTCATTTTAAGATACCGAATTATACATATAATTTCAATATTAAATAAACAAAGCGCATACTAGAAAATCACAATTTTTTAATTAATATTTATAAGTCATTAATTTCTGAAGTGTCGATCGATATCCGTCGTAAGCATGAAATGCACAAATGTTAAATTTATGAGGACCTAATTCTCAAAAATATTGTTTGTACTTATTTATTAATTCTTGATATTCGTTGACATGACAACAGATTTTTAATATCAGTTCGAAAAGTTTATACTCAAACTTATATGCTGTCAACATAGTCATAGGTAGGTGCCGCGAATATATAAACTGTACAAGTCACTATTTACTTGTTGCTGAATATTAAAGCTATTTATACATAGGACACTTTCTCTTGTATTTTCAAAATATCTCTCTGTTGCACTTTCAAAGATATCATCTTTAAGTGTTTAATTCTCTTAGTTTGGAGAAATTTTATGTACTAATTTATTTTATTAACATTCAGCCTGTGACAAATAAACTCTGTGACATTTAATTTTGAGCCAAAAAATCGACATGTAACTGCGGCATCTATTTAAATCCATATCTGTGGCGGTTACAGTAGGTATAAAGCAGAGTTTAAATTACAACTTATATCTTCTAAGGGCAATTTTAGGTGGGGGAAAATATAGTAGTACCTGGATGCCAAATTTCGAATTCTTTCAACCATTTGGACGTAATTGTATAAGAGTCGTAAAAAAAGTAAGATCAAGATAATTCCTGAAATTGCCTACTGACTGCGCAAATGTTGGACTCTGTGTTTACTCCTGTATTCCTTTTATACACAGTGTAACGAAGAGGGTATTACAATTCGAAACCTAGCCATACTAATCATAAAGTTTAACATATATATATGTATCGTGTTCCTACCCCCTATACACTGTATTATAATTTTCTTATTTAAATATAGCAAATGAATTTATTTCGTTTTAGTAAAATGACTTAATATTTTGCTTTCCTACAAAGAATTGGTGATTTATAATTTAGCCAAAATTTGCCAAAATTATAGCATGACTCAATAATTAGTTAAAATATTAAATAGTCATTATTTAGAAATTAGTTGTTAGAAAAACTAGTCCTTAATAGTATTTAAATAGTACAGCTTCGACGAGGCTTTCATATCGAATTTGTCTACAAAAACATGACCTAGAAGTTTTTACTTAATAGTCTAAGAACCTAACGTCGTTATTTTCGCCTTTTTCTTTGTGTAGGCTGTCTTGTACGTAGGTATATATTATTATATAGAATTTCTGCCAGTTAACTTGCATTGTTGAACATAATATATACATACCGTACTGTCTTGAGCCATCTGCAACTATTGACTTTATACCTTAATGTGGTCGTCGCATTATCTCAAGGGATAATATAGGATTCAACAGTGGTAAAAGAATTATTTTTATATTATTATTCAGTTTGATTAAACTCATAAAAATTATGACGTTTTGCTCTTAGACTTATTGAATAATACGACATGTTATATTATTTAATAAATTGCAACTCCTTACACAGTATTGAATAATGTAATATCATGTTTGTTATTTTAATTTTATTTTCAGTTATTGAAATGTATGTAATTTAGGTATAACTTTTTTTTTCATATTTATTTGATAAACAATTTTGATATATCTTTTTCTAAGAAATAATGTTTTAAAAATAAAGCAAAGGCAAAAATAATAGAAGCTTATATCCTAGTATTTTTTTTTATTTTATAAACAAGACTGTTTATCGAGTAATTAAGAAAGAATTAAATTATATCAGAAACTGCATCATGAACAGAATAGCTCTGGCAGTGATTTCTTTACTAAATGAATTATTATAATTATTAACTTGATTTTGTATTAAATTGTAATTTTAGCCATTGAATTGTGATAATGTTACCAAACACTGTTGCAGATTTAAAGTGTACAGTGGCAGCTGAAATGTGTATCTATTTATTTTGATTCTATTAAATATTTCATTAGTTTAAACTAGAATCTTGTGACTATGATATCGGGTTCCTGGCGGTTGATCATTAGTTCCTTGAAATTATTTTGAGAGTAATTTACACCATCTACCTATAAATAATAATTGTTCTTTTCACAAGTTTGTCACTCATCATCATATTTATATACCTAATCCAGCGTTTTCGCTTCATTGACTGCATTTTGTATGGATTTATGAAAAGCCTATGATTTTTTTAAGATATAATCCTCATGTTTGTGTAATGAACTGGATTATATAATTTGGTATGTATTTTGTGTTTGACTATTGAAATAAAACATTAAAATTCTATATAAATGTCTATTTTATTTTCTATTTAAAAAACCCGCAAAATTTTATGTAGGTTATAACCTCTCAATTTGCAAATATATACTAGCATCATCTGATGAATCGATTAAAACCTTTTTGTAGATAAATTGCGATTATCCCAAAATATGTGTTTTGAACTAAGAGCACTCCGATTTTTAAGAAATTACCCAATTTAAGACAGACAGACAATTATAGTAATTTATAATAGGCTTTTATTATGGATGCGTTTTACAGGACTCTATTGTTAACTCGTCAAGTAAATATTTTTTACTGTCAATCCTACTATCTAAATTTTTGGTTATCATAATAAAAAAATATCCTATATTTTAAGTAGAAAAATTTGTAGGTTCCTTTTCTTAAAAATGCAAACGAAATTTATATAAGCATTAAGATAGTAAAAAATAATTTTAGGATATTTTTTATGCCATCAACACAATATTATATGCACTATTGTCTAATGGTGAAGTTTTTTTATTCTGAGGTAATGGGATGGTAACTGCCTGCACTATCAGTATACACTGAGATCATGGGTGAGGGTGAAGTCAGATCAGTTGGCTCATCGTGAGGAATTCAATAATTACTCACAATGGTTTCTAGGGCAAACCGCGTGGAGGTTGACCTAATAAGGTATATTAGTAGCAATGGGACTGTCAGACCCTATTATTATCAAACGCCTTTTTCCCATTTGAGGTCAGTTGGTATGACAAGAACAATGATTTCCAGGAACACCTTGAGGCAGACAGAGGTGTTCCTGGAAATCATAGCATTGATGCTGGGTAAACCTATGGCCTCATGAGGCCATTACGACAATCTGTACATATATTGTTTACTTAATAAAAACACTATGTAAAATATACTTTTTTTTATTTAACATAAGTTAAAGTATTCCTCCTGTTTTAAGTCGTAATGTATCAAAAATATATTTTCCATAATCACCTTGATATGCATTATCTATTAATTGCTTCTCTAAGACATTTAAGGATTCGCTATCCCACTGTTTGATCGAATACAAAATGGAAAACAGTTTGTAGTAGCAATTTGTGTCATCAGAATCAGATATCTTGATTGAAGGTAAGTTTTTAACAATTTTTAATAATTGTGATTTAATTACTCTATTAAAAACTAGGTTGTTATATATTGCAAATTTATGGATTATGTCTATAGTTTGAACTTGCACTGATTCAGCGAGTAGTATATCAGGTAAGTTTTTGAGCCACATTTCGTAAGAATCACATTTATGGAAATGACTCAAATTGTCATTTAAAGCTATTTTACCTAATAGAGTGAAAATCTGTTGTTTAAATGAATCAGACATGTTTGTGTTAAAGTAAGCCCATATTACTTTTCTAAATAATGGATCCATGATTGTAACATTTTTGGTCCAATTACTTTCATTTGAAAAAATTGTATCCAATACATTGATAAGGGCATTATTTACATCGGCGTGATTATTTTGACTGAATGTTTTTTCCAAGTAATTTAATACTGTAGTTATTTCATTGTTTTGACTTTTTAAATTTATATTACGATTTAACGCAATAAATAAATAACAGATTTTCAAATTCTCTAAAATTAACTTTGGATCAGTAATTTCATCATCAAAGGTAGAATTACTGCTCTTTTTTTTAGTCCTTACATTTGTTACAAACGGAAAGGAATTGACAAAATACTGGCCAAATTGTTTTTTATATTTTTGACTAAATAAATTCGGTAATCCAGAATCGTAATTCCTGTTATTTTGGTTACATACAAGAATCCATAATAGAGACAATACATCTAGAATATGTTTAAGTAATGATGCTGCATCTTCTGAAATAATGGTTTCAATGTTCCTCTCAGTATTAGTTTTAGGGCACACTTCAAGCCAAGTTTCAAACAGTAATGGCATTAAGGTATCTGTATACTCTCTGAGTTTTTCCACTTCATCAAGCAAAATTGTATCTTGGTAATTTTTAGATGAAAAACATGATAGATTACAAACAGATGTATAAATTGGATCAGTTAATGGGAAATGATTCAATTTGCTATTATCAAACAAATATGTAGTTTGATCTAAAGATTTATCTTTCTTAGATACATTTTTATAATCAACAAACTTCTGTAGGTAATCTTTTAATCTATGTAATACTTTCACTCTCCATTTAACAGTTGTTATTTGACTGCCTAAATTGACAGTCAGTGTTCGGCCTGGTTTTGTGTCTACTCTTAATTTTGATATCATATCTAAGAAATTTGGCAAAATCTTATGAAAGTCCTGAGCTACTTTTTGTGGAGTGCACTGAAGTAATAAGTCGAGAAATAACAATGAATCTTCCTGTATTCTACTGTCAATGTGGGTCATAGCACTTCTCAAATATGTAGACATAATATCAAAGAAAGGTTCTATTTTAACTATGTTAATAACACATAAAATTGTATGTAGCGCTTTCAAAGATTCATGGCGAACCTGAAATAAAAGTTACCAGATAAAATATAAAATGTAATATAATAAAGTAAAAGAATCAATATTATCTAACATTTTTAGTCTGTTCTAATTAATAATTTTATTCCATGTTCAGATATTAAATAATGAAGAAGTCATGAAAGGAATGATAGAGATAAGCTATAATTTTCACCTTAAAGATTTTTAACTGAAGAATATAGAGCAGTTAACTAGTTTTTAGAGTAGCTATATAAATACAACTTTTTGATAATCAACTTAATAAAGTATTTATCACAAGTATTAAAAAAATTATTAACTCTTACAAACCAGTAATAGACTTGGCATTAAGCAATAGCATATTAATTAGTAATTTGTAGAAAACTAGATAATTTTTTTTTTGTATAAAAGTACTGTGTTTATACTTTAAGAGAAAAACTGGATGGAGTATATCCTTAGAGCTTTAGGACGGACACTTTAGCCAAGGACTTAAAATTTTTATTTAAAATTTTCAATATTACATTAACCCCAATTTTATGTGTGCCTGCTGTACCCTGGTTCCGAATTATAGCACCTCAGACATTTCTGGGACAGAAGACATTCGAACATTTTTCAATGTCATGATAATTTCTCCTTATTATGCATCCTAAAATTAACAAAGTTTTTCTATACAGTGATGCCTTTGAATAATGCCACTATTTATATACCCCAACAACTGCTACTAAAGGTACTGACTGATGTTGATATTGTTTTTTTATGTGATAGAGTGACATACAAGCATATAGTTCATATGAATTCATTAAATTTTTATATAAATTGTAAAAATGAACAAAGAAGTACCTGCACCAATAAAAATCAAATAACCTTAAAAAGTAAAAAATAATAATATTAAAACACATGGCTTGTTGGGTCTGATAAGCAACCAGAGAAATTACAAAATTTAGAGATATCTATTAATGACAGTTACTATTTTTCAATATCTTCATAGACAATCCAGATGTTAGTGTTAGTGCCTAGCCAGTGCCAATTCTTCTATTAGTACAGACAGAATTTAAACATTAGTATTATTTTAAAACCATAAAATTATAGTAAATAACTAACCACTTTCTCAATATTTAATAATAAAGGAGTAATCCCAAGAATCAAAGGTCCAAGATTTTGATCGAGAACTTCAGGATGAGTGGTTGCCAATTCCTTTATACCCATTAGGGCATCAGTTCTAGCATGAGTATTAAAATGGTTGAGTCGTGACAAAAGTTCTTTAATATTAAGTTTTCTCGTGGACAACGCTTCGGATTTACCATGTTTCTTTAATTGTTCCTTGATGACAATTTTTTTCACTTTGAAATTTGTTTTCGTAACATTAGTTCCTTTAGGAAGATCCTTCTTTTTTGATTTTAACTTAGTCTTTGATTTCTCAGACTTTAGAAATTTTTGGTGACGTGTCGCACCTGTTTGTGGCATGTTTAATTATCTCACAAATTATACAGGACTTGATTGTAATAATTTTATGATATTTAAGGTTATATTTTGAAAAATTAAACAACACACATTTAGATGATGAGTTGACATCACAGCATAGAGTAGAGAGGACTATGGGGTCGATTCTGAAGCGCCAGTGCTCTAAATTATACTCTTAACCTAATATTTTAATTTGATAGTTTGGCAATCTTATGTTTTATAGATCATCATAAACAAATTTATTAAAAATTTTACTTAAATATATTAGAAAATACGTCATGTTCTCATATTGAACCTTACAATAATAATTGCGCTGTGATATCACTTTGATTTTAATTTTAAAGAGAAGTTTAAGAGAATATCACATCAGAATCGATGTGTACAAAGAATAACATTTTGACATACATTTTAAAAATGTTAAATTCCAGACAATTTATCTCTTTGAAGACTAGGCAGCATGGTCTCCGACCTTAGCCTGTTCCAAACGGAACAAACGTACTAAAAAAAAAAAAAAAAAAAATAAAAATGTTAAATTGCGTTATTATTTTATTTTGGACTTGATACATATTTTATAACCATTACATATTTTGGAATACGAGAACTTATTCATCCATATTCGAATATAATTATTGTGTACTTATACACACACACTATAAGTTACTTTGTTATTTAGTGTTATTTATTTTTAGCGTCTACTTATTATTACTTCAAATTAAAATATTAACAAATGCGTGAATATCTATAAACTTTTTCTTCAATTTCTTAGATATTGCCTATAAATGTCAATGACTACTAATCGGTTGTATCGATTCAAAAACTGACTAACGCAAGGCCGCTAATTAAATAATAATAATAATAATTAAATAATACCTAAATTAAAAGAAATAATTAAAAATATTTTTTAATAACCACAGATTCAAAATATAAAACCACCATCGTTAATCAATTGGAATACAAGATTTTTTTCTTATTTTTATTTCAACTTTTTACCAAAATCATCAAGTTTCGTCTATAACATTTTATATTGTGTTTTATATTATATATATACAGGACCCCTAGAACTCAACCTCAACCCGAAAGGGGATGTCAGGATTGATTTTAACCATCATGAGAAAAATCCGAAAAAAAATCTATCCCATGCAGTTTGAAAATTCTGTGCCTCTAGTGAGAAAGGGTTCAATTCAAAATGGTCACTTTTCAGGAGAACCAAAAAACTATTTTAAATAAAGAAAAAAAATTCTGCTGCTTTTATTATTTGCTAATTGAACAAGTCAATGATTGCATTTATAGTAATTTTTTCTCCTCTTTCTTATGAAATTGTCGGTTTTTGTGTAAAACTTATAGTTTAAAAAATAATTCTATTATACCTAATCACACTTAACAAAAATATTAAAATTATGATGTGAAAATAGTTTTAAGTTGAATTAAAACTATTTTATTGAAGTATTGAAGAAAAACAATGTTGTGTATTTTACGCTATAAAAAATAATCGCTATTAAATGGTGTAAAAGGGTTCAAATCGAAATGATTCATTTTACAAAAATATTTTTTGTAAAATATTGTAGTTTTATTTCTAATTATGACTTTTTTACCACAAATATTTTGTTAATTGTAGCCTTTTACATGTTTACTATCTCTATTGTTTTTAAAGATATCGTTACGATTCTTATACCATTCGAAAGAGAAAAATTTGCTTATTTAAAGTAGCCTAAAAAAGAAAAAGGCTATAACTTGAGTTATACCCTTTCTCACTAGAGTCACAGAATTATGGGTCCTAATTCTTGCTCATGGCAAACATGTTCACTATCCATCTTTCTCATCATTTTGCTGTAAAATTAAGAACCTACCAAGAGCATGTGCGAATAAAAAACGTTTGAATTGAGTAAAATGGGTTAGCAAAAATCGTGTTACTTGAGGTTTATTTTTTTACTCTTAAGTATTATACCATTTTACAATCCTGATTAAATGCGTAAATTTTTAATGGCACTTGCCAAGGCACTTTAGTACATTTTTTTTAAAAGAGGGCTTTTCAAAGTCGACAAATTTTGAATATTTTAATTTCATAGTTTAACAAATAGTCTTAATTCTATAAAATTTGGAGCAATTGTATAATTATTTTTGACTGTGAATTCAGAGTTTAGGGTTTTTATTTAGGGTTACGGTTCCAAAGTTTAAATAAACAAAAATAAGAAAAATTAACCACAATATCCGAAAATGCCCATAGTTTTCAAACTGCATGGGATAGACTTTTTTCTGATTTGGTTACAATCAATCCTGTCACCCCGTTTCGGCTTGACGTTGAGTTCTGGGACAGCCTGTATATACAAGGATATATACAAGGATGCAGTATAGGACGACCCCCCACTAGATGAAGTGACGACCTGAAATGCATTGCAGGGTGTCAATGGATGTAGGTGGCTCAGGACTGTTCTTTATGGCAGTCTGTGGGGGAAGCTTATATTCAGCAGTGGACGAATAATGGCTAAGATGATGAAAAACAGGGAAAGAACTTTATTTTCATTATTTTGACTGATTATTAATTAGTAAAATCATTCGAATACGAAAATTAGTATATGTATTACTAATTTAGTAGTTGAAATACAAAATTAGTAATTATTCGAATAACAAAATTATTCGGAATTGCTCATCGTTAATATCTACGCTTAGGGAACATTGCATCATGCATCTGTCAGTCATCAAAGTCACTGTTGATTGTCACTGTCACACGCGTAAGCACATGTTTGATATAATTGTATTTCGTTTACTAATTTTCTCATCCTTTTCGTATTTTACTCTGAATTAAATATGAAAATCAAAAAGCAACATCGTAAAAAGAAATATCTCCATAAATTAAACCGAAAACGAATGCACAGGAAACAAACTAATACGGGTGATGTACAATGGTAACAATAAAATCATTCTTCATCAAACTCTTTCATGTGAATAATTAATGTTATTGTTAATATTATTTCTTTCATTTCTAGTAAAGTAATTAAAGATGCTTGGGATCATAAGAAGTCTTCATTTAGAAATCTTCGTGAAATGGGTCTCACAACAGACCCAAATAAAACAATAAAGATTCCTAATTTTAAACAAGAACAAGTTAAAAAAGCTAAGACCATAATGAAGGATGATGAAATTGATATGGACGAAGAGGAAGTCAAAGTTCGAATACCAAGGAAAGTACATGTCGTTGAAGAATTGGAGAAGGAGTCAAAAGCTCCAAGGGAAAGGAAATTTATGTTAGTATCTTGTACTGCACTCAATGTAAATGCACTGATATCTCTCTTCTCTTTGTGGTATTAATGATAATATAGTAGTAGCAATAAGCTGTGACTTTGCTTTTATGAATCAGGATAAAAAGTATCCTGGTGTAATTTTTATTATATTTAACAAAATATATAAATATAATAATAAATAATGGGATACTCCTTCCCTATAGAAATCATAATACTAAGCAATTAATGATAATTTCAGTATAAATACCACATATTAGTCGAAGTAAATAAAACAAAAAGGATTATGTATTAATAGTTTTTCTATAAAATTCTAAAGGAAAATTCAATGAATTCATAATTACAGTTTCTCTATTTTTTTTTTTCAGGTTACCAAAGGGACAAGTAGAATTTATAACATATTTATTAGATAAATATGGTCATGATTACAAGGCAATGGAGAGAGATAAAAAGAATTATTATCAAGAAACGTGGAAACAGTTAAGAGCTAAAATCAAAACATTCATGGGTATACCCAAACAATATGGAGAATATTTAAAAGCTAGAGGTTTGCTTGATAAGGAAGAAGATGAGGATGAAATTAAAAGACAAGTGAAAGCCCTGGTAATGGATGATTAGATAAAATTTAATGACTATTAAATTTAAGTGAAGATATTTTGTGTACATTTAATTGGAATTATATGAAGTAGTAATTTCATTGCATCTTTATCCAGCAGGATCCTTTGTTTTTTAAAGATTTGGTTCTTATTATATTTATTACAAGTATTGAAATAGGAAAAATAACATTATTTTTTTAACATAAAAAATAACATTACCTCTGTCATATTTTTATAACTAATGTGTATTAAAGTATTAAATAAAAAAAAAAAAATATTTTAACAATTATGCAAGCATAAAATTTAAATGAAATAATAGATGTAAGGATAAAAGTTGTTCTATTATTGTTTGCCTATTTTGTAAAGATAAGCTCTAATACAATATTAAAGTTGATATAGTAAAAAATAAAATATAAAGTGATACAAATAGCCTCAGTTATGAAATTGTAATGGAAGAACTGGTTATTGCATCTATTATATTGATGTAAGGTCCTGCTATTTAGAGCATAATTTTTAATTTTAACATTGTAAATAAACTATTTTGATATATAATATTTTTTTTACACTTTAAATCTCCATCTTTTATTTCCTTGTGTACTTTTATTAATTATTTTAGAGTTTAGTTCCAAAGTTATTGAAAAACATTTACAGCAGCAAAATAGAAAGTAATTGGTTCTGTAGGTGTAAAAATTTAAAAAATACTGCCTAGTTAAGTTCATTGTGCTTTGCATTCATTTGGTACATCTTTAATAGGCTTCACTTGCTTCAATTCTTCATACCATTCCTTATCCATATCTAATAGCTGCTGAGGTTTTTTATACTGTAAATCAAAACATTATAATTTGTATAGGTCTAATAGAGAAGTAAACACTTTTAATTAATAAAAGACCTTTAAAACTAGTTAACAATTAGCACATATTGTATAATAAGTAATAAAATTAAGATAATTTTTAGTCAGTGAAATACTTGTTACTTTATTGACCAATAAATTTGGTACAAAAGGCAGGTTAAAGTTATAGGCATTCTCTCCAAAACAAACTTTAGGATGTATAGATGTATGTGAAGTTTTAAATACAAAGATCTTACCATAATAATAAGTGTGTTATACTGATGGGTTGACTGTATGTGAGCTTGTTCTATGGGTAACCCAAGCCTTATAAGTTCAGGTATCTGTAGTTTTTTAAAATACTTCTTATTTGTTGTACGAACTGTAATACATTTTTCTTCATTATTTGCACTTATGGAATAAGTTGATATAGGATATGGGAGATTTCTAATCCTCCATTCCAAATTGACTCTTGTATTACGTCTTGTTACAATAGGCTGTAATTAAAGTTTAATAATAAAACATACATTAATATAAAAATATTTGTTTTTTAACCATACCATACCATATGAGTCATTAACTGCCTGTAACTGAACATAGGCCTCTCCCTTGGGGAGTTGTTTCAGTGGTTGCCATACTTGGCAGGCAGGTGAGCAACCACAGTTAGCCATTGGTGGTGTTTTAAGAGGGATGCAGCTGCCTATCTCTCAACCATTACAATCCTTTAATCTGCTCTTGTGACACTCATGGGAAAGGAAGGAGCGGCCCATGCTATGCAGGACCACACAGCAATTTATTTTGATTCTTTAATCATGTATACTTAAAACATAAAAATCAAAATTGGTAGATCAGGCAATTTTGTATATTTAACATACTACACACTGATTGAAGTTTATCACTACATAGTATAAAATAGTAGCTGTCGCTGTCTGTCCGTCCCTATGTATGCTTAGATCTTTAAAACTACACAACGGAATTTGATGTGATTTCTTTTAATAGATAGAGTAATTCAAGAGGAGGTTTATATGTATAATATAGTAAAGAAACATTGATAATTTTAAAGGTTTGTAATGTGGACCCGAGCAAAGCTAGGGCGGATCGCTAGTTAAGAACAAAGTCAAAGTTTTCTATACAATTTAAAAAAAAAACTGGACCATAATACTTATTCATACTGACCTGGTCTTTACTTTCTACAATATCAGCAATTTCAACGTTTGGTGTAGGATCAGGAATTGGATCTCCAATTTCCACTTCCCACTTGCCATCACCACCGAGCTTACTTTTAACTTTCCAAGCTCTACGTAACAGCACTTGTGTATCAACATTATATTCTTCAACCATTTCTCTATCATCTTCGAACTTATAATGTACTTTTTTTATTTTATCTTCTTTCAAACATGACTTTTCTGCTCCAAGAAGAGATTTATACCATATAGTATTTCGAAACATTTTATTTTCGAAATTTACTGATATGATTGTTTTTTTTAACTTGATACTACCGTCATTTAAATTTTCGATCAAACTAGACGTCCTTTTCATTTTATTACTATAGCAACAGACACTTGTTGATTTTGTTCCATAAACAAAAAGTACATAATCATAATAAAACAAAAATCACCTAACCGAAAACCGGAAAACTTTAAAAATTACGTATCAATAATGATACAAAATTAACAAGAACGTAAGAAAAACAAAAAAATATATATATTTGACTACGAGTATTTGCACGCATCCTCTTTCTACGATTATTATTTGCAGTCACAGACATATACTATCAAATGTCTATGTGTTGTGTGTTGCATTAAGAGTGAATATTGATACATTGACAACTGACAGCCGTACTGACGTGTGTACCGTAAAGTTGATAGATAAAAAAGTCTGCAACGTAGTATAGCTGGTAATCTCTCTGTAATCTGTATTTTTATTAAAACCTAAACATAATTTAAATTTAACCAAAATTTTATTTGTTAATGAAAAATTATGAGTTGTAAACAACAATAACAGAAACTAAAGATGCCGCCTGTTATACCTGATAGGTAAACAATGTTTGATTAAAATTCTGCATAACCACCTGACCTGATTTAGTAGTTAAATTTACTATTTTTTGTATTTCAGATGGATACCATACAAACCATGTGGAAAAGTAATTGATGGAACTAGAATAATATGTTTCAAAGTACCTCTAAGGACGGTAAGTTGTTCTGTTATAAGATTGAATATGAAATAGGCGGGATAATAAATTGTCTTGTATTTATAGGTATTAATCTTATTAATTAATTAACATTTTGCTACATGATGTTATACAAACTATTGATATATCCCTTACACACCAAATCTTTTAGATCACCTTGCCTTTTAGTCATTCATTTTAAAGGATAAGAAGTTTTTGCACTGTGACCAGAACATACCTTCTGAGTAATCAGGAGTAGTAATAATGATAATTATTACTACTTGTTATTAAATTATTAATTAATTAATTGGTAATTACTTTGGTTGTATAAGCATATGGGTGCTATAAACTATTTCAACTTATTGTAATAATTATAAGTGTTAAACCTTTGTTCAATTATAAATAAATAAACTTTTTTATTATTATATTGTTGGTATTAATAGTCTATAGGTTAAGCTATGGTGTGATTGCCTGCTTTGCCATTTTTAATAGTTTTAATACAGTATGCGTATGTAAGTCGCTTCTGACATTTAAAATCTACTAATAATTAATGCTATTGGTGAGTATTTTTAGTGACAAAGATTTTTGAAGCAATGCTTCAGTTATTTATGCAATGTTGAAAATAAAATTTTGGGTCGAGTGATTTAAGAAGTAGTATCTTTAAAGGATAAATTTAATATTGTACATCTTGTCACAATGTTAATATACAACCATGCCTCTGGTTGTCTTATTAAGATTATAGTCATGAGCATACTTAATTTATTTCTATTAAAAGTTTTTTATAGTATATTAATTTTTTAATTTTTTTTGAGTCTTTTATTGTATAACGCCATCTATTGACAAACTATGGATGCATTAGTTTGTCGGTTAAGTATTGAAATATTTTCATAAGTTTCTAACAGATAGCGCTACTAATACATATAAAACATGAATTTCAATTGAAATCGTCTAAATATTTTAGAAATTACATTTAAATACTTCTTAATGTGATTACCCAATAAAATCTGAGACCACTTCGTAACATATTTTATATTTGGTCGATAATTTCGCGACCAGCTAATGTGTATCTATTAGATAATACAATCTATAAAATATCTATGTATTATGTAGTCCATAGATTTTAGGATTGTATTTTGTAATAATTTAAACAAATAAGTTACAAAAATCGATCCTTAATTCTTTACATTAATATGAGACCAACATGTTTATGTGTTTAACAAAACTCTGTCTAAGTAATAATATTGTTTAGTAAGTGTAGTAATTATTATTTATAATTAGTATTAATTATGTGCTAAATCTGCAGGTTATTATAATAAAATATTTTTTTATAACATAGACTTTCTTGTGTTTAGACATAAATAGATTTTAGACACGAAAGTTGTAGTAAGACATCTGGCGGCGTTACCATTTCATTTTCATCCACCAAAAAAAAAAAACATGTATTGAATACCTGTTTATCGCAAGTTGCACTTTTTTATGGTAAGACGACGAGACAAGTCAAAAAGACGAGGACAACCTCATCTTTTTTAAATTCGCATAAAATATAATTATGATCTCACATTTGATGTGCGATCGTGATATTATATAATTATTTACCTACTTATCTTTTATGTAAATGTAAAACCTAACTTTAGTAGTATGTTATGTAGATCTTTGTATTAATAAATATTTTGCTAGGTACTTGTAGAAATCAAAATAATGATAAAATTTTTGTCTAGTAACAGTAATATTTATAAGCAGGACGTTTTTTAGGACGATATTAGGCGAATATGAACTCAGGTCCGTTAGCCCATCATGATGAATTTACCAGTAATTAATCGCGATGGTTTCCAGAAGGGAGTTTACGGCTTAATATAGGGTATATTGCTAGCAATAAGACCATAAGGCCCCTTTACCAATGATTGCTCCCTTTTCTGATTATATTGAAGATAATGAATATAATGTAGCAACTACCTAATGTGTGTCCCTAACAGACATCTTTCTATAATTTTAATTCTAGAATTACCAGATGGACGCCATATAAAAGTCGTTTGTTGGGGAACCTTTGTCTTACTGTGCTTGCGTGGCTGTGTGTCGGTGTACACTTCAACATGTTATGGTTGTAAAATTACAGGGTATGGAATTATTATGTGATGTTGCTGTTAATGTTTTCAGGTTACAGTTACCACAGTAATTGACTTGATATAAATTGACATCAAAAAATAAAATCGATATGACGTGTATTCATACGTACTAGTGCTCAGTCTGTGCGAGAATGCAATCCGAGAAATATGTATTAATGAAATAGGTAGTAGGTACATATTTCCATTATCATCTCGTCCTCAAAAGCGATAATACACATTGTATCAATTTATGAAACGAGCTTTCCTAAATTGATTCAAGTATAGCAATTTAAGTTGACTCTAGAGTTATCATTGTTTACCATTACACAAGGTCCCTTCCATAGGCATATTTAAAGAGGAGAACATTAAGGAGAGGGGCTGGGTGGGCGTGCTTACCTCAGAATTGTCTAGTGCCTACCATAGGATGCAAAGCTTCACAAAGACATATCTGACAGTTCATCTTTTTAAGAGGCAAATCCTTCCCTAGAAAATAATCTTAATTTTTTTTTATTTGTTATCTCACCAACACAAGATATTTTTTTATACCATGAAGGTGGCAAATAAGCATATAGTCTGATGGTAAACGGATACTGTATCCTATGGACGCCTGCAACACTAAGGGTGTCACGTGTGCGTTGCCGACCCTGAATAAACCTTAATATACCCTTGTTGATAAACCCTATACTGATAGATATATATATCTTAATTTGAGGATCAGGCAGTGGGTGTAATTGTGTGTAACGAAATGCATGTATTGGAATGTAAGTTAGGTAAAATTTAAAATGGGCGCATTTGCACCTGCATTAGCAAAGCCTAGCCGACAATGGAAAGCATTATTAGTTCACAAGTGCGACGCACAATGCTTGTTTGTATAACTGTTCGACTGCCTGGGCGTTCACTTGACCGTACCACAGTTAGAAGCAAACACTCACTTGACGATCTGTGTTAATTTGTTCTGCATAGCGCTTGCATCGAACGATATCAAAAGTGTGTTTAATATATGCTATACCACGTGCATGGAACATACAAAAAAATCTGTTATTTAACATTTGGATAAATATTTCTGGTAGATTTTTACTTCATCCTTTGGTTCCAATAAATAAGACAGTGTACTATTGAAATATCTAACATTACCTCTTAAGTAGGTAATCAATATAAAGTAGGTGTTTTTCTTCTTTCACAGGTACGAAATAAAAGAATTTTTTACAAAATATGTTTGCACGTGAGAACTCTTTCCGTACATTCCTACGTTTTTACATATCTTTAACATTTAGAAAACCTAAAATCCTATTTTATTTTGTAATATTTGATTTAAAATTGTCCATTGTTACGTTCTAGATAAGGATTTCATTCTGTACATAATTCGAATCCGTTTAAAGCTTCCAAATTTTGGATGCATTTCTGGTTTCGTATTCTGTCAAATTCAAGCTCCATTGCACGATTGCCTAGATTGTTCATGGGTTATTTGTTTATAGGTTACCTATAGTTTTTATTTCTTGAAGTTTGAAGATCAAAAAATCTACCTAGTTAGTAGATTTTTAACAAAACGTTTTCTTGAAAATAAATTTTAAATATTTAATTTAGTCATAATTTTGATAAATATAATAGGCCGGTAATTAAATTAGATATTATTCCACTGCGTGTCACATTTATTCAAATAACATTAAAAACATTCATTCTTTTGTAAAAAAAATGAATTTTATTGGTATTTGTGTTACAACTATACGATACTAAAGAATATTTTTGATTTATCTGTTAACAAATATAAATAATTAATAATTGAATAAATATACATATTACACACTAGACGATTACTTAGAACAGAAACGTGCTTGGTGCTAGTTAATTATACATCTGATTTTCAATATATTCAATGCGTTAGATAAATACTTCCAAATAAATAAATATTGTGTTAACATATTGGCGTCACATTTAAAAAAAGTAACAGACGATTTTCTTGCCACTTTATCTTTGCTGAAACTGGTCGTTGAGTTAGGTGGTCACCTAAAATAAATTGCGCGCACTAAAGGCAAAAAGATTCAGTGTGTGAAATAAATAAATTACCTTAAGATTTATTTATTTATTTTTTGTGTGTGCACAAGGCGGGGTTAATGCTAAAAGCATTCCCTACCAACCTTAGAGAATTACGATTCATAATTATTGCCTATATGTTCCTGAAGACTATTAAGCGTTTTGGTAATAATCCAGTGATGAATGTAAAAGGAAAGAGTGACAATTTGATATCAAGCAATGATGCTTGCATGTACTCGTATTTAAGCATGTCCTGATGCATGGGAAGATCAGTTGAATTTTCGTAATTGAAGTGGTACTTTTATATATGTATAACTTATTTTTGTCCACTTCAGTGAATACAATATTCTGGCAATTTTCTATTAATAATTGATGACGAACACTGATCATAATATGAACTAAGTTACGAGAAAAATATATATTCTAAAACTATTTCTTGTTTAGTAAATTAAGGTACATTAGGATATTGTCAAATAAATATTTTTTTTTGGGATATAGACACACTTGGATTAACACGTAATTGTGTCTAAGTGGTGACCTTAATCCTTCACACATCTACCCTCTGTTTACTCAGCCGCGTGTCAAAATATTTGTTCCATATAAAAGAAAGAATCCCGACTTCGAAAGGACTAATCCCTTATTTGATAAACCAGCGGGTGCTTCGTACCGTACGGTTCTCTGCGTACAGTTGATTCTTTTTATCTCTAAATCTTTTCATTTTTTTCCTAAAACCACTCCTTTATTCGGCATCTGTGGCGCTTTGATTCGTTTCTTTATTCAACGGGATCTGACCATAAATTTTGATAGTTTTGTTCTGTTTGAATTATAAAGGGATATTACCTTAATGGCAATCGGTAGGTGTAATTTGATATAACCCATGGATCAGTT